GAGGGAGGGAGGGAGGGAGGGAGGGAGGGAGGGAGAGAGAGAGAGAGAGAGAGAGAGTCTGCATGGATGGATGTGTGTGAGTGTCTTTCTCTCTCCCTTCCTCATCCGCCACATACTTTTTCTATTTTGCTTAGCATCACTTCAGGTCCCAAGGGCTAGTTAAAGTACTATGGATTGCATTCTCTGAAATCAGGGTGGAAGATAAAGCTTTTTTCTTTTAAGGAAGGTAATTTGTCACAACAATGGAAAGCTGATGGACACTTAGACACAACAGGTAGCTAACACACACAACCAGTGTTTTGCTACTTTCCGGGTTAGAGGTAAACTGCTGTCTGTTCACCCCAGAGAAAACCATGACAGACCAAAAGTAGACTCCATCCAAGTCTAGCTTGATATATCACTGAGGATTTTTGAGGTTCTACAGGGCGCTCAGCTTTTTTGGAGTCTCTTCTGACCTGTAATTGCATCTTCTTGTATAACTTCGGAGAGGTATTTTGTAAGTCCTGTAGCTTCCTGGGATTCTTGAGCCTTGTGGATTGTATGAGCCTCCTGACCATTGCAATTTACATGAGTTTCTCTATTCCCTCCAGGGAGGAAATGTTTCTATTTGAAGAAAATTGCTACACACAGATGGAAAAGTTCACATTTTTCTCATGCATTGTCATTTTGAGCAGTAAGGATAAATTTATTACTATAATCTTGGCCTTATGATTTCTGAGTTAAATACTTGAAATACTGCCTTGAAAATTGCAGGAAATGTGTTGCCTATGAGACCATAGATCTTACTTGAAATTGGTTAATGTTACCAAATATTTTTATATTGATGAATATAAAAATCAATTTCCTGTAAGTTCTAAAACTTAGTCTAAGTTTTTCCTTCTAAACACAGTAGGAACACATTAATCTTTATATGGGCTTCTTCATATAATGAGTAAAAAAAAAACTCATTACTTTATTGCTGCTCCCCCCCAACACACATGTTCAAACAAAATATAGCCAATTTTTTTTGGTTTTTCGCATTGTTTAAATGAAAAAATAGTTTGTATTTCAATCAATAATATACTATATTTACTAAAATTTTTCAAAATTCTTAAAAACATTTTTTTTGTGTGCAATAGATAGGTATAGTAGGCAACAATACATTTTTTTGTCTCTTTGGGGTGACAAAATCTAGAATTTCTTTTATGTGTTACTCATTCTTAAGGTATTTTTTGGTTATCTTTAACTGAAATAATTGAGGTAACATTTAACCTACCCAGTATACACAACAAGGTAGCATTTAACCTACCCAGTTGTATACAACAGCAGACCCACACACACAAAGAGCTTCCGGAGCTATCCTTTGATGATAACTAGAACTATGAAAGAAAGAAATCTCTCCTCTCCATGCTGTTATAAGACATATTACATCAGATCTTCTAGTGACTGCTTTGCCAGGAAACAATGTGATATAGGAGAAAAGAAAAAAAAAAACCTTAGTTAATGGAGGAAGATGAATTCTTGGCAACATTAAGATCCAGTTGAGAATGAAACCTATTCTTGTGTTTTTAAGCCATTTTAGGCAAAAACTTCTTCAGTCATTTGAATGTCTTAGAATGGCAAGTTGAGGAGTCTACAACATGAGCTGGCATAAATGTAACCTGTGAAGTAATCACTGAGCTTCATGGAGCTTCCTGGCATTCAATTATGTTGCCTCACTGTGAGCAGATATGTTCCTTCTATTATCCATGTGACAGTATTTTATTATACCTCAATTCACAGCTACGAGCAGAGCAAACTTTCATCAAATTTGACCAATTCAATTGGGAATGGAGCTATTTTGTGCAGCTTTAACATCTAAAACTTGTGGAATGAATTGTTTAATCTCTCCATCCACTGTACAATTTAGAATGCTATACAAGATACATTCCCATAAGTAAACATCGCAGGTACCTTGTAGGTAGACACGAGCCTGTTGATTATTGCTTTGTGTAAGGTTGAATAGTTATACAATGACATACCATGTCTGGATGATAAATAGGAGGTTTCAATGGGTCACAACTATCAGAGTTTAAATTTCACAGTTTGACCTATATAAAAGAATTAGTTCAAAGTTCTTTCAATTTCAGTGAAGATTACATAAAAGGTTAAAACGAAGACAGAAGTTAATTTCTATGTGACAGATTTCTTGGGGAAAACAGTGCTACCTATTCTATCTCCATGGGGACTGGAGAAAGTCAATGGTGTGAAAGCAATCAGAAGCTGAAAGACAAAATACATCAGAGTCACTGTATTTAAGGAGTTTGCTGTCTGAGAAATCCATACAATTATAAATGGACTGCTTAGCTAGTGGTAAAACACAAATAAACCGAAACTGATAGTTTGCTACTGGTGTGAAATTTGCTTCTGTCCACATTTTTTTTTCAGAACAAAGATGGCTTATATATTTTCCTTAGCAAGATGTGCACCTGGAGAGAGAAAGAATAGGAAAGAAGGGGAGTAAAAACAGGAGGAAGATGAGGGAGTTGAAGAGAAAGAAGAGTGTGGAAAAAGCAGAGAAAGGCTGAAAATCATGCCTTCTAGGACATCAACTGTAAGATGCGACCA